AAGATCGACACGTGTGCGTCGCGAATTGATTAATACTCAATAGTTGTTTATAAACAAATATATATGTATAAATATAATATATATATATACCTACATATACTCGGCAGTTGTTAATGTTGCTAGGCGGGAACGAGTTGATTTTTTTTTTTGGAATAGATCTTGCCGTTTGCCGGCTGAGTCCAAACCCGAAACTAGCACCAAAGATAAGTGTAAATAGAGTATAGAAGTCGACTAGTAGATACGGTTTAAATTAAAAGAAACTTTCCATTATATGGTTGTATATACTAGCTTTAATCATTAAAAAACTTTTTTAAATGTAATATTTATTATTAAATTTTTAAAATTATTTTTAGATTATACATGACTGCTACAATTATGAAATTTAAATTATAAACCTTTTTAATTGGGAATAGTAGTATTTAAAATCAGATTATCCGATTTCGAATTTGCTTCATTCTATTTTAAAAGTATAACTAGTTGATCTATAAATAGCACGCTTAATGCATATCATATATTTGGAAATGTTTTCTTATGTCTTCGCAATGGGTTCCCTTATTTTTTACATAATAGGTGTTCTGAAACTTTCCATAAGCTTTTCATAATTACTTAATTCTTGCATAGCCTTCAACTGTCTTGTTTACTTATTTGCTACAGTTACAGGGTATTTGGAACGGGAATAATAAGAAAAACTTGAATAAATTAAATTCGTGTGTTTAAAATACAGACATACTTATTTTATATATCTATCTTAGCTGTGTAGCAACACAGAAAAATATAATAAAATAAAAAAATAAAACAAAATAACAAACAGCAATATTAATAAACAATAATTGTTCAAGGTCAAGATGCGAATATTGCTTAGAACAAAACAAATGTGAAATAACAAGTTGGAATGTCTAACTGTACATGGTGATGGACTAGTCAATGCCCTGTAAATGGTGTTGTAAAGGTGTGAGTGAGGGGCCTAAAGGGGGAAATATGGGTTTACGTATGATGGCTTGAATGGTTAGATATAAGATTGTATATGTAGCTGCTATACCTTTGTTTAGACTATAGATATATGTATATGCATATATGTATTTTATCAAACTGACTTAATATGCCCCGAATATTTCCATTGATTGTGAATCGTAGAACAGGTTTTCAGCTATGGCAAAGGGGGCTTGGCAGGAGACTCTTCGGCAGATTGTGCACAAATATTTGCTGACAGGTGGAAATATTATGCGAGTGAGAAATTTCAAAGTTAATCGGAAGTGAAGCAAAGTCACAAGCAAGAAACTTGAATGAAGTTCGCATGAAATAGCTGCAGAGATAAATGAAACTAAAGAATCAGCGGGAAATGCATTGAGGAGGGACTTAAATAAATTAGAATAAATGCATATAGGAAATATATTTATGTATGTATATTCAAATGTATATAAGAAAACTCAGATAGATAAGCATTCCATTGACCGCATAGCTCAAGCTAGTGGTGATCTGATCCTATGACACGTGATGTCACTCCCTTGTATAAGAGTCGAGAATTTCGAGGCAGCTCTATTCCAAAAGCAAACTGCGCACTTTGTGCAACTATTTTGTTTTCGCTCTATTCAAAACAAAAACTATTTTTGAAAACTGTTTGAATATACACACACACAAGTGCATAAACAATACACACATATACTACATAGTATATTGTATAAGCTATAAATCTGTTGTTCTGGGTAATACGAGTAGATGTACGAGCATTTCGAATTTATGATCATATTTTGGCATTTGCTTTCTGCTACCCAACGCGTTATTTGATCGCCAGCGTTGGCAGTGGCAGCGGCAGCGGCAGAGGCAGCGACTGAGGCAGCGATAGCAGCAGCGGCGTAGCCAAAACGGCCCAAGGTCAGCGTCTTCTCCTCTGCTACGCTGCTCCCCGTGCTGCTCTGCGGCTCCTCTGCTCTTGAGCTCCTCTCGCGTGTGAGCATTTGAATAATTAAGTGCGAAATGAATTAATTTCAATAGAACTTTTTAGCATGCGCTGCCCATATTTAGACACATTTAGGCAATTGAACGAAACAACATGTTAGAAATGTGATTAATTCAATTCGATTAAGAAACTATTATCGTTAAGGCCTTTGAGGGCAAATGTCGTAAATTTTTAAAGGGTTGTCTACTCAAAGGAATTTCTGATCACTTTGTACTGCAAGTTAACTTGATGTATAACATTTGATTAGTTAGAGTAGCCATTAGGTAAAGATATACTTCTTAGTTAGAGAGAGGCCCACGTGGATCCAATTTCTTTTCTTCAGTTTCTCATCAGCTTATATTTTTATACTACTCCAAAAAGCAGAATGAGCATATTGGGTTTGTGTCTTGTCCTTCCTAGTCTTTCTTTCTTATTGAATTTAGAGACTTGAAGTTTTGAATGTATGTATATACGCTTAATAATTAAGTAACCTCGTCTTAAGATTGTTCCGATATGCTCAGTAGCTCAAAGATTCTTACTTTTAATAGGCATATATAATCATACATACAGATTTAAATAATT